ATGAAAGTCTATCTAATTAATGAAAATTGAAGATGAAAAATTAATGTTTAATAATAAAAATATTTATTTTATGGAATAATTCTAATGCTAATGAAATTTCTTGTTTTCAAATGTGAAAAACATTTCTAGAAAATTTAATTTTGCTTTTTCTCGTTCAAATTCCAAAAAGTGATGAAAGCAAAATTTTCAGAATTGAAAGAAATAGATAACAAAAAATCAATACGCTGACCTTGCCGATCATAAAACGACATTAAATAAACATCCCCACAAACACACACATTACAGCTTGTAGATATTTAAAATTGAGAATTGAAATTTCACGACGCAATTTAAGCTCAGCGTTTCTTCAAAACAAATTAAAATAAAAAGATGAGAGAAAGTCAAATGAAAACAAAAATCTTTTATTGCGAATGTTTGAGTTACATGTGACAACATAATTTGATTATAATTCTGTAAATAATTTTACAATCTTTTGTTCATTAAGTAGGAGATTGCCTCGCAGTTGATCAATCGTCTCGTGATGTTCTTTAATCAGTTTCTCGAGTTGACCCAACTGATATTTTAAAGGTTCAATTGCACTTGCAGTTTCCCTGAATTTAAAAAAAAAAATAATTAAAATGAAAAAATTGATAATCAATCGCTTACGTTTGTTCTTTTTTCAAATCAATCGTCGCTTGTTTGTAAATTTCATCCCATTTTGTATATTCTCTTTGCATCGAATCAATGTCTTCTTGCACAAAATCCATCAACTTCCCCATTGGATTCACTGACCGAACTAACTTTTGAAGCAAATCTTTCAAATGTTCTATTTGCTTAACATTTGTTTGGGTCTTTGTTTCATCGAATTCCTAAATAGAATTAAAATTGTTCATAAATTATTAAAAGAATTAATTTCAAATGCTTCACTTACGATTTCAGTTTTCTTTCCTTCCATCCCTAAAGCACCTTCAAAGTTCTTCTCGGTTTCTAAAATTTGCTGCACTAATTTTCCTTGTTCGTCTTCTTTAATTTCTTCATTTGAATTTTGTGTCAATCTTTCATTCATAAAGTTTTCAGTGATAGCTGTCGAGTCTTCAATAATCACAAGATTTTCTCCATCATCCTCAAGTTCTTTCGTGAATTCTTCCATTTTCACACTGATGTCTCCAATCTTAACAGTTTCGTCAGGTTGGAGAACAATTTCAATGTTTTTATCACGTCTTCTTGGCGCAGCAGGTCTCGAACTTGCTGGTCGAGCTGAAGGTGGTCGCAATGATGTGCGAGGTCGATCAACAGATTCCCGTTTATAAGACGATTGAAATCTTTCTGTTCTCTCAGATTGATTTGGGCGGTTTGATGCATCTGATGGCTCTGTTGATGGTGGCGGTTGCACTTCTTCAACTGACTTTTGTCGATGCTTTGCTGAAAATACTGCCCTGAAGTTAGCGATAAAAACTGTCGATAAAAAATAACCCAAAAATTGGGTTATTTTTTGCGATTCGCAAATTTAACCCAACTATTGGGTTAAATAACACAAATTTGGGTAAT